ACTCCCAATCTCCTGGCGAGTGGCCCAAAGTCACCCAGTCAGCTTTCACGCCCAACATGGGACTAGAACTCCCAATCTCCTGGCGAGTGGCCCAAAGTCACCCAGTCAGCTTTCACGCCCAACATGGGACTAGAACTCCCAATCTCCTGGCGAGTGGCCCAAAGTCACCCAGTCAGCTTTCACGCCCAACATGGGACTAGAACTCCCAATCTCCTGGCGAGTGGCCCAAAGTCACCCAGTCAGCTTTCACGCCCAACATGGGACTAGAACTCCCAATCTCCTGGCGAGTGGCCCAAAGTCACCCAGTCAGCTTTCACGCCCAACATGGGACTAGAACTCCCAATCTCCTGGCGAGTGGCCCAAAGTCACCCAGTCAGCTTTCACGGCGAGTGGCCCAAAGTCACCCAGTCAGCTTTCATGCCCAACATGGGCGGGAGAACTCCCAATCTCCTGGCGAGTGGCCCAAAGTCACCCAGTCAGCTTTCACGCCCAACATGGGACTAGAACTCCCAATCTCCTGGCGAGTGGCCCAAAGTCACCCAGTCAGCTTTCACGCCCAACATGGGACTAGAGTAGCACAGCTAAGGAAAAGGGGGGAAAAAATGGCGGACTGCTTTGTTTGGCGACCCCCGTGAAATGGTCGTTCGACCCCAAATGGGGTCCCGACCCACAGGTTGAGAACCACTGGTCTAGAATGAAGAGATGGAAAGGCTCAGAATATCTTTTTTTAAAAAAAAAATCCCGTTTCCTTTCCCCCCCTTCAATCCGAGAAATTCCCGTTTGCCTCCTTTTCTCTCCCCCCCCCCCATATGAACCCGAGTTAGATCATGACACACCATCCCTTCGAGTTGCACGGAATACAGCTGTTACCAGGATACACGTAAGTTTAGTAGCACCACTAAGGAGTCAACACAGATCTTTTTTAAATTATTATTTTCATTTTATTTTTTCATTGCCTGCGCTTCCCTTCCTTTCCCCTCTCGGGAACATGTCACCTAAAAGTTTTGAGGGCTGCTTTGAGGAGATCACAGCTGATTGGGTTTGCAAAGACCCTGGAGAACAAGAGGCAGCTTTCTGAGGCGAGGGGGGGCCAGAGAGATTGCTTTTTGCAGGTGCTGGTTGCCCCCCCTCCCCCCCGCAACCAGAACCTGACTCAAAGCTGTTTTACTCTTGCATATTTGATCGCTGCTGTCCCTGGGAACAAGCTGATCTCTCTGTCACGGAGACACACGTACCAGTGTGTCTGAAGAGAAAATACTCTACATACAAACCTAAGCCTCGCTTTTTCAAAGTACATTCTGGGGCCACTGAGAAGTTCCCTGAAAGCTCATGGAAAGGGGTGGGGTGGGGGTCAGGACCAGCATGGAAGTGTTCTTTTGTGGGGAGGAAAAGTTGTCCCCCCCAAAAAACCTTATTCCCCCCAATAAAAGTCTATGGGTCATGAGGATCAATAGAGTTTTACTTGAAATATTCTCTCTCTCTCCCTCTCCCTCTCCCTCTCTCTCCCTCTCCCTCTCTCTCCCTCTCCCTCTCTCTCCCTCTCCCTCTCTCCCTCCCTCTCCCTCTCTCCCTCCCTCCCTCTCTCTCTCCCTCTCCCTCTCCCTCTCTCCCTCTCTCTCCCTCTCTCTCTCCCTCTCCCTATCTTTCTCTCCCTCTCTCTCTCTCCCTCTCCCCTCTCTCCCTCTCCCTCTCTCTCTCTCCCTCTCTCTCCCTCTCTCTCTCTCTCTCCCTCTCCCTATCTTTCTCTCCCTCTCTCCCTCTCCCTCTCTCTCTCTCCCTCTCCCTCTCCCCTCTCTCTCCCTCTCTCTCTCTCTCTCCCCCTCTCTCCCTCTCCCTCTCTCTCTCTTTTTTGTTTTTTACCCCGCCATTATTACTTTGTAAATAACTCAAGATGGCAAACATACCAAATACTCCTTCCTTTCTCCCACTGTTTTCCTCACAACAACCTTGTCAGATGGATTAGATTGGAAGAGAGTTACTGGCCCAAAGTCACCCAGCTGGCTTTTATGCCTAAAGTGGGACTAGAACTTAAGGTGGGATGGGACTACAATTCACCGTCTCCTGGTGATTGGCCCAAAGTTACCCAGCCCATTTTCATGCCTTAAGATGGGACTGGAACTCACCATCTCCTGATGATTGGTTCAAAGTCATTAGCGGGCTTTCATGCCTAAGGCAGAACTAGAACTCACCATCTCCTGGTGATTGGCCCAAAGTCACTCAGCTAGCTTTCATGCCTAAAGTGGGACTTGAACTTAAGGTGGAATGGGACTACAATTCTCCGTCTCCTGGTGATTGGCCCAAAGTTACCCAGCCCATTTTCATGCCTTAAGATGGGACTGGAACTCACCATCTCCTGGTGATTGGCCCAAAGTCATTAGCGGGCTTTCATGCCTAAGGTGGGACTAAAACTCACCGTCTCCTGGTGATTGGCCCAAAATCACCCAGCTGGCTTTTATGCCTTAAGATGGAACTAGAACTCACCGTCTCCTGATGATTGGCCAAAGTCATTAGCGGGCTTTCATGCCTAAGGCAGGACTAGAACTCACCATCTCCTGGTGATTGGCCCAAAGTCACTCAGCTGGCCTTCATGTCTAAGGCAGGACTAGAACTCCCAGTCTCCCAGTTTCTAGCCTGGTGCCCTAACCACTTGGCCAAGCTGACTCTTGTTATCTTTTTATTATAATATCTCTTTGCTATAACCATTTCGACCTACACTGTCTTCTTCCATGTGTAGGTAATTATTCCAGAAGGATTATGAGGAAAAAATGGCCTGAAAAAGTGTAAAGGTTGGAGGGGGGATTAGACAGGAGAGAGTAAAAATGCATATGCTGACTGTTCTAGTATCTGAGGGGCTGCCAAAAAGAAGAGGGGTGGGGGGTCCACCTATTTTCCAAAGCACCAGAAGGCTGGACAAGAAGCAATGGATGGAAACTGATCAAGGAGAGAAGCAACCTGGAGCCTCTCTTCTCTTCTCAAGAACAGCAACTGTGAGAGGGACCTTGGAGTCCTAGTGGACGATCACTTGACCATGAGCCATCCATGTGCAGCAGCAGCCAAAAAAGATAATGCAATCCTGGGTTGTATAAACAGAGGCATAGAATCAAGATCACGCGAAGTGTTAGTACCGCTTTATAAAACCCTAGTAAGACCACACCTGGAATACTGCAGCCAGTTTTGGTCACCATACTACAAAAAAGACGTTGAGACTTTGGAGAAAATTCAGAGAAGAGCAACTAAGACGATCCAAGGCCCAGAGACTACAACATATGAAGAACGGCTACAGGACTTGGGTTTGTCTAATCTAAAGAAAAGAAGAAATATGGGGGGGGGCTGATAGCAGTGTTCCAGTATTTGAGGGGCTGCCACCAAGAAGAGGGAGTCAAATTATTCTCCAAAGCACCAGAGAGCAGGACAAGAAACAACGGTTGGAAACTGACCAACGAGAGAAGCAACCTGGAATTAAGGAGAAACTTCCTAACAGTGAGGACAGTCAACCAGTAGAACAGCTTTGCCTCCAGAAATCGTGGGCGCTCCATCGCTGGAGGTTTTTAAGAAGAGACTGGACAGTCACTTGTCTGAGATGGTATAGGTTCTCCTGCTTGAGCAGGGGGCTGGACTAGAAGACCTCCAAGGTCCCTTCCAGCTCTCTTCTCTTCTCTCCTCTCCTCTCCTCTTCCATCTTTCCCAGGCACAGAACCTCCTTCAGAGAACTGGGTCTTCATATCTTGTGTAGGAAAGGATCATTTGAATCTAATCACCAGTGCCTTGAGGGAGAACCCTGGAGTGGAATTGTTGGTGTGTAATATTAAGAAAAACAATGAGCTGCCCTGAAGTCTGGTAACACTCACACAGGTTGTCCCCTTTTCCTCCCCTGGCATCTTCAGGCTAGACTGTTCAGACCTCCCAGGGGCTTTCTGCTGATTGGCCAGGGAGCATAGGCCACACCCCTTCATCACAGGCAGCTGGTACAAAGCTTGGCTCTCACACCTGTTACAGGCTCAGCCTGGGATGCTTCTCGGCTTTTATCTATGAGATGGACCCCCAGTTTCCAATCTGAAGTGAGCTTTCTATGTCACCCAGTAAGGAAGGGGTTTTTATCTCTGCTAGAGTTGGAATTCTCTCTCTCTCTCTCTCTCTCTCTCTCTCTCTCTCTCTCTCTCTCTCACACACACACACACACACACACACACACACTTTTTCTCCCTGTTTTGTGTATCTCTTTCTCACTCTCTTCCTCTCACTTTTTCTCTCACTCTTTTTTCTCTTTTCTCTTTTTTCTCTCTCCTCTTTCTCTCTCTCTTTCTCTTTCTCTCTCACACACACAATCTCTCTTTTTCTGTCTCTGTTTTTGTCTGTTTCTTTCTCTCTCCCTCTTTATCTCTTTTCCCTTTCTCGTCCTCTTCCTCTCTTTCTTTTTCTCCTCCTCTTTCTCTCTCTCTCTCTCGCACACACACACTCTTTTTCTCCGTTTTTGTGTGTCTCTTTCTTTCTCGCTCTCTTTCTCACTTTTTCTCCCACTCTTTTTCTTTTTTCTCTCTCTCTCCTCTTTCTCTCTCTTTCTCTTTCACACACACAATCTCTTTTTCTGTCTCTGTTTTTGTCTGTTTCTTTCTCTCCCTCTTTATCTCTTTTCCCTTTCTCGTCCTCTTCCTCTCTTTCTTTTTCTCCTCCTCTTTTTCTCTTTCTCTCTCTCTCTCTCTCACACACACACACTCTTTTTCTCTGTGTGTTTTTGTGTGTCTCTTTCTTGCTCTCTTTCTCTCACTTTTTCTCTTTCTTTTTTCTCTCCTTTCTTTCTCTCTCTTTTACACACACAATCTCTCTTTTTCTGTCTCTGTCTCTGTCTCTGTCTCTGTTTTTGTTTCTCTCTCTCTCTCTCTCTCTCTCTCTCTCTCTCTCTCTCTCTCTCTCTCTCAACCCAGGGAGGGAGGGGCTTTTAGTCTAGATAGAACCACTCAGAGTCTTTTGGACTCTTTTCAAAGCAGAGACTGCCTAAATTTCTGCGGCCGGCAAAGAAAACGCCGGAGATTTCCAACATCCAGCATGAAAGCAAAAAGTCCTAATGATTTTTGTCTCCCTGTTGCCTGCCTTTTGTCTAACAACGCAGCGCGCCCCATTTGCATCGGTGTGCGAGAAGCAATGACTTCCAAAGAACACAGCAGCCAAAGCTTCCCTTGGAGGTAAGTGCCGTCTTTCAAAATGTCATTTAGGGGAGAAGGAACAGCAGGACAGAGTAGAAGGCAATGATAAGGCTGGCTGACGTAAAGCAACAGAGAGATTAATTGCTATGGCCCTTTAGGTCCTGAGCGAAGAGGTGGGGCTGTGGGTTCAAAGGCTGGACAAGAATTCACCTGTTTTGCAGAGCTGAACAAGGCTACATTTGCCATCATAAAAAACACGGCTCTCTTATGATCCCTTTCAATACTTTCCCAAAACACCCTTTAGTGACTTGCAGCAGAAACAAAAGATGCAGGGTGTTCTTTTTTATGAAAAATGTTGTTAAAAGAAGGAAAGGATGGGTTACGTAGTTGCAGGTGGAGAGAAGAATCCAGAGGTTAGAGAAATGCATCTGGCGAGGTGAGCTTCAAATCACGAAAGTTTTCTGCTTTGGAATGAAATTGGTTTAAGCAGAAAAACTGGTCACCTGCTGGTTCTTTGGGGCACCGCATAGACCAGGGGTCTTCAAACTTGGTCCTTTTATGACATGTGTGCCTGGCTGAGGAATTCTGGGAGTTGAAGTCCACAAGTCATAAAAGGGCCAAGTTTGAAGACCCCTGATTCAGACTAAAAGAACTCTCCTGCTACAATGAAGAAAAAAGGGAATGTATAATAATAATAATAATAATAAAAATAAAAAAACAACTGGAGCATCACTTGAACACCATCATCGGCATTGACAAATTCGCTATTAGTCAATTGCAAAAGGCGGCCTTACTAGGAACTGCTTCCATCCTGCGACAATATCTATAATACCATCAAACATCCACATCTGCCTCTCCCAGGTCCTGGGTAAGGACTCGATAGGTGGACAAAATGCCAAATCCAGTCTGAACATCTGGCTGACTGTGCGATGATACATAATAATAATAATAATAATGGAAGGGACCTTGGAGGTCATCTAGTCCAACCCCCTGCTCAGGCAGGAAACCCTTTACCATTTCAGACAAATGGCTGTCCCGTCTCTTCTTTAAAACTTCCAGTGTTGGAGCATTCACCACTTCTGGAGGCAAGTTGTTCCACTGGCTAATTGTTCTAACTGAACTTAATCCGGAGTAGATGAGGATGTAAGAAACTGCAGTCAAAATAACTATTTCTGTTTTTTTTAAAAAAAGAAAAATCATTGAGAGACTAGTCGCTTTAGAGCAGGAGTATCCAACCTTGGCAACTTTAAGACTTGTGGACTTCAGTTCCCAGAATCCCCCAGCCAGCCATGCCTGGCTGGGGAATTCTAGGAGTTGAAGTCCCACAGGTCTTAAAGTTGCCAAGATTCAATGTCCCTGCCTTAAAAGGTGCATTAGAGGTCATCTATTCAAGGCTGAAATCTTTCAATTGCACAGTTTGTGTCCAAAGTCCTGGCCTTAAATGATCAATATGATCCAGTCCCTCCCTCCCTCCCTCTCTCTCTCTCTCCCTCTCTCTCTCTCCCTCCCTCCCTCCCCCCTCTCTCTCCCCCTCTCCCCCCTCTCTCTCTCTCTCCCTCCCTCCCTCCCCCCTCTCTCTCCCCCTCTCTCCCCCCCTCTCTCTCTCTCTCACTCCCTCCCTCCCCTCCTCCTCTCCCCCTCTCTCTCCCTCCTCTCTCTCTCTCTCTCTCCCTCCCCCCCTCTCTCCTCCCCCTCTCTCTCCTCTCCCTCTCCTCTCTCTCCCCCTCTCTCCCCTCTCTCTCTCTCTCTCTCTCCCCTCTCTCCCTCTCTCTCTCTCCCCCCTCTCTCTCCTCTCTCCCCCTCTCTCTCTCTCTCCTCTCCCTCCCTCCCTCCCCCCTCTCTCTCCCCCTCTCTCCCCCCCTCTCTCTCTCTCTCCCCCTCTCTCCCCCCCCCTCTCTCTCTCTCTCTCAGCCCAACCCACCTCACAGGTGGTGGTGGAAAATGTGTTAGATATATTTGTTGCCTTGAGCTATTTGTTAAAATAATAAAGGCGGCGATACAACTAAATAAGGACCCAAAATCTTCGCTGTCCCCAAACATTCAGCTCTAGCCTTGCCCTCCAGAACCACCAAGGCTAACAGCACCATCCACTCCTTTGGCTATCTGGAAACTCAGTCCGAGGAAAGAAAGCAGACTTGCAGGAAGTGAAAAATTGTCTATTTGACTGTTTGGATTTTTAGTCCACCGTGAAAACGTTTGGGGACGGGGAGGTAGAAGGTGGGCAGAGAGGAAGAAGGGGAGAGAAACAGGTAGGCAGGCAAAAATAAGAATGGGGAGATGCCCTGCCAGTGTGAGACACGGAGGCAACTTAAGAAGATGCAATGTATCAATAAAGGAGAATATTTGCAGCTCAGGGTTAAAATGAGGGGTCCTTGGTGCTGTCTGAGCCTGGTTGTTTTCTTGCAGACGTTTCAGTACCCAACTAGGTAACATCATCAGTGCTAGAAGGGAGTGGGGTTTGTGGAGAGGAGGAGGGGAGGAAGAGGAGGAGAAGGAGGAGAAGGAGGAGAAAGAAGAAGAGGAGAAGGAAGATGATGAGGAAGAGGAGGAAGAGGAAGACTGTGGTGTAACATCATCAGTGCTAGAAGAGAGAGGGGTTTGTGGAGAGGAGGAGGAGAAGTAGAAGGGGAGGGAGGAGGAGGAAGAGGAGGAGAAGAAGCCATAGAAGAAGAAGAAGAAGAAGAAGAAGAAGAAGAAGAAGAAGAAGAAGAAGAAGAAGAAGAAGAAGAAGAAGAAGAAGAAGAAGAAAAGGAAGAGGAGGAGGAGGACGAGGAGAAGAAGAAGAAGAAGAAGAAGAAGAAGAAGAAGAAGAAGAAGAAGAAGAAGAAGAAGAAGAAGAAGAAGAAGAAGAAGAAGAAGAAGAAGAAGAAAAGAAGAAGAGGACAAGAAGAAGAAGAAGAAGAAGAAGAAGAAGAAGAAGAAGAAGAAGAAGAAGAAGAAGAAGAAGAAGAAGAAGAAGAAAAGGAAGAGGAGGAGGAGGACGAGGAGAAGAAGAAGAAGAAGAAGAAGAAGAAGAAGAAGAAGAAGAAGAAGAAGAAGAAGAAGAAGAAGAAGAAAAGGAAGAGAAGGAGGAGGAGGAGGTGAGGAGAAAGAAGAAGAGGAGAAGGAAGATGATGAGGAAGAGGAGGAAGAGGAAGACTGTGGTGTAACATCATCAGTGCTAGAAGAGAGAGGGGTTTGTGGAGAGGAGGAGGAGAAGGAGAAGGGGAGGGAGGAGGAGGAGGAGGAGGAGGAGAAGAAGAACAACAACAACAAGAAGAAGAAGAACAAGAAGAGGAAGAGGAAGAGGAGGAGGAGGAGGAGGAGGGGGAGGAGGAGGAGAAGAAGAAGGGGAGGGAGGAGGAGGAAGAGGAGGAGAAGAAGCCATAGAAGAAGAAGAAGAAGAAGAAGAAGAAGAAGAAGAAGAAGAAGAAGAAGAAGAAGAAGAAGAAGAAGAAGAAGGAAGAGAGGAGGAGAAGAAGAGAAGAAGAAGAAGAAGAAGAGGAAGAGGAGGAGAAGAAGAGGAGGAGGAGGAGGAGAAGAAGAAGAAGAAGAAGAAGAAGAAGAAGAAGAAGAAGAAGAAAAGGAAGAGGAGGAGGAGAAGAAGAAGAAGAAGAGGAGGAGGAGGAAGAAGAGAGGAGGAGGAGGAGGAGGAGGAGGAGGAAGACTGTGGGATCCTTGGTGTTCTTTGAGCTTGGTTGTTTTCTGGCAGATCTTTCATGACCCAAATTAGGTAAGATCATCAACGATAGAATAATGAGCCCAAAGACTGCTTCACAGTGAAATGGGTGGCATATAAATTTAATAAATGAAAAAATAATAAAAACAGCCAAGGAGGCTTGCAGACCGTCACCCAGCAGGAGCCCTTCAAAAGCCCATGAGCTCACCAGGACAAATCCCCCCCCCAATTTGTGAGATAATCAGAGGTTGTCCGTCTAGATAGGAGCCTGGATTTCAGGATGGCTGATTAGAAGCTCACCTGGACACCAGAAAGCCCTTTGCAATGATGTTTCTTTATCAGAGTAATTAAAATGGGGGGGGGGATTGCTTACATTGAAGATTGGAGAAAAGGGTGAGAGAGAGCGAGAGAGACTCAGACACACAGAGAAGAGATGATGGATGGGATTACAGAGAAGGTTCAGATAGATAGATAGATAGATAGATAGATAGATAGATAGATAGATAGATAGATAGACAGACAGACAGACAGACAGACAGACAGACAGACAAACAATGATGGATGATAGGTAGCTATAGATAAAGATAGCTAGAAATGATAGAGATAGCTAGATAGATAGCTAGATAGATAGATAGATAGATAGATAGATAGATAGATAGATAGAGACAGACAGACAGACAGACAGACGATAGATGGATGATAGGTAGCTATAGATAAAAGGTAGAAATGATAGAGATAGATAGATAGAGAGAGAGAGAGAGAAAGAGACAGACAGACAGATAGATGAATAGGTGATAGATGGATGATAGGTAGCTATAGATAAAGATAGGTAGAGATGATAGATATAGATGATAGAGAGAGAGAGAGAGAGAGAGAGAGAGACAGACAGACAGACAGACAGACAGACCAACAGACAGACAGACAGATGATAGATAGATGATAGGTAGGTAGAGATGATAGACAGAGAGATAGAGACAGTTGTTAAGTGAGTTCTGCCCCATTTTACAACCTTTCTTGCCACGGTCGCTAAGTGAATCCCTGCAGTTGTCAAGTTAGTGACCTGCTTGTGAAGGGAACGTGGTTACCCCACTGACACTGCTTGCCAGAGGGTCACCAGAGGGGACGCTGCCACCATCATAAATATGAGTCAGTGGCCGAGCATCTGAATTTTGACCACCTGATCGTGAGGAGGCTACAACGGTCGTTAAGTGTGAAAAGGGGTCATAAGTCGCTTTTTTTCACTGCCGTTGTAACTCTGAACGGTCACTAAATGAATGGTTGTATGGTCAAGGATTACTTGTATAGCTTTGAGCCAAAAAGCAACGGCTGATTCCCTTCCTTCTCTCTCCAAGGCATCTCTTCCTGGTGCCAGCCTCCAGAGTTGTGGAGTTTGTGGGAAGTGTGCGCCTGCATAATTTAAAGTGTGCCTCATGCACACCGCTTTGATTTTCAAAAAAAAGGGGGGGGAACCCACAAGGGAGGTTTAAATGCCTGCTATTGTCGTCTCTTCGCAGCTGTCGTGCGCTGTGATCTTCAGGATGTCCCTCACACTGGCGTGGATCATCGTTCTTCTCACCTGTCTCTCCTGCTTAGGTAAGAACGAGGATCCCGAAGAGTTTTTGGTGGGGTCGAGGATGGGGAGTCCTCGACTTATGACCACAGCATTTCTGTCGCTAAACAAGACATTGGTTCTGTCAGAACCTCAAACCGTTGCTGCGTGATCGGTCATAACTCAAGATCCACCTGTAAGGGACTGCAGCGGAGCCCAGATTTTTCATCGCTAAACAAGATAGTTCGTAGATGAATTTTGCCCCATTTTACAACCTTTCTCGCCACGGTTGTTAAGTGAATCACGGCACTTATTAAATTAGTAGCGCGGTTGTTAAGTAGATCTGGCTTCCCCCTTTGACTTTGTTTGTCAAAAGGTCGTAAAAGGGGATCATGTGAGCCCCCCCGGGAGGCTGCAACCATCATAAATATGAGTCAGTTGCCAAGTGTCTTGAGTTTTGATCACGTGACCACGGGGAGGCTGCAAAAGTCATAAGTGTGAAAAATAGTCACGAGGTGCTTTTTTTCAGTGCTGTTGTAACCTCGGTCACTAAATGAACTGTCGTAAGATGAGGACTACCTTTAAACCTTAGCTTGAGTTTCTGGTTTCCGAAACGTAAAACAAATCTCTTTCTCTGTCAGTCAAATCATTAGCACAGGGGTCCCCAACCTGTGGGCCGAGGCCCAGTAGCAGGCCAAGGCCTGCTGGCCACTGGGCCGCGGGACAGGCTGGCCAGTGTGTGCAGGTGTACGTGCACACCCGCTCACTTGCGCTAGCGCCACGGCTGTGAGGCACAAACCCAGGATGCCGCACCACGGGGAGCAAAAACGGTCCACCACTGCACCTCGGGGCACGAAAACGGGCCACTGCCGCACTACAAGGTGGAAAAATGGCTACTGCCGCTCCCCAGGGCGCAGAAACAAGGCGCTGCGCCATGCAAGAATGGGGCGGGGCTAGCAAGTATCACGCAGATGCTAGCCCCGCCCCATTTGCAGCGCGCACATGTAAAATGCTTCCCCTTCCCTTTTCCTCCGGTCTGCCAACTGACAAAGGTTGGTGACCTCTGCATTAGCAGATGTCAATAACAAACACACACACACACACACACACAGCTGTTATCTTGTTCTCTCGGCCTTCTCTGCAATTAAATGGTCCAGGAAATAAACCACAGAGCACTGACCTAGTTTTCCAGCACTTACTCATTTTGAAATACAGGTAGTCCTCAACTTACGACCAGTTATTTAGCAACCAGACTTCCCAGAAAATACATATACCAGTAGTCACTTCGTTTAGTGACCATTCATTTAGTGATCGTGTTTTTCACATTTGCAACCTTTTAGGCATCCCCGTGGTTTCGTGATCAACATCCAGACGCTCGGCAACTGACTCGTATTTACGACGGTTGCAGTGTCCCCAGGGGGTCATGTGATCCTCTTTTGCGACATTCTGACATGCAAAGTCCATGGGGGAAGCCCAATTCACTTTACAACCGCGTCACTCACTTACCAACTGCTGCGATTCACTTAACAACTGTGGCAAGAAAGGTCGTAAAATGGGACAAAAATAACTGAACAGATGTCTCAGCCACAGAAACTTTGGGCTCGGTTGAGGTCGTAAGTTGAGGACTGCCTGTATGACCAATTTTGGAGTTCTACCTCCGCTCCAGATGTTAAGCAAGGCAGTTGTTAAGGGAGCTTTGCCCCGTTTTATATCCTTTTTGCCACCGTTATTAAGTGAATCCTTGCGGTTATTCAGTGGATCATATATTTTACATTTAACAACTGTGGCTGATTCGCTTAATGACCAAAAATGAAGCAAGGTCATAAACGTTTTGCTTAACAACCATAATGCTTAGTGACTGAATTATTGGTAACAATTGGGGTCGCTAAGCGAGGACTACCAGCATAAATCTCCCAATCTTACCGACAACGACCACGTACTTCATGACATTTCCCCCCAGATTCCTCTTGGCTAGTACTAAATCATATTCCTAATGAATATACAGTAGAGGTGACAAATAGATTTAAGGAACTGGATCTGATAGACAGAGTGCCTGAAGAACTATGGATGGAAGTTCGCAACATTGTACAAGAGGTAGCAACTAAAAGAAAAAGAAATGCAAGAAAGCAAAATGGCTGTCTGAGGAAGCTTTGCAAATAGCTGAGGAAAGAAGGGAAGCAAAAGGCAAAGGAGAAAGAGAAAGATACACCCAATTGAATGCAGAATTCCAGAGAATAGCTAGAAGAGATAAGAATGCCTTCTTAAATGAACAGTGCAAAGAAATAGAAGAAAACAACAGAATAGGGAGGACCAGAGATCTCTTCAAGAAAATTGGAGATATGAAGGGAACGTTTCATGCAAAAATGGGCATGATAAAGGACCAAAATGGCAGAGACCTAACAGAGGCAGAAGAGATTAAGAAGAGATGGCAAAACTACACAGAAGAACTATACAAGAATGAGCTTAACATCCCAGATAACCACAATGAGATGGTCATTGACCTCGAACCAGACATCCTAGAATGTGAAGTGAAATGGGCCTTAGAAAATCTGAGCAACAACAAAGCTAGTGGAGGTGACAGTATTCCAGCTGAGCTATTCAAAATCTTAAAAGACGATGCAGTAAAAGTGCTACACTCAATTTGCCAGCAAATTTGGAAAACTCAACAGTGGCCACAGGATTGGAAAAGGTCAGTTTACATTCCAATTCCAAAGAAAGGCAATGCCAAAGAATGTTCAAACTATCGCACCATTGCACTCATTTCACATGCTAGTAAAGTTATGCTTAAAATCCTACAAGCTAGACTCCAGCAGTATGTGGATCGAGAACTACCAGAAGTACAGGCAGGATTTCGAAGAGGCAGAGGAACTAGAGATCAAATTGCCAACATACGCTGGATCATGGAGAAAGCTAGGGAGTTCCAGAAAAACATCTACTTCTGCTTCATTGACTATGCAAAAGCCTTTGATTGTGTGGATCACAACAAATTGTGGCAAGTTCTTAAAGAGATGGGAGTACCAGACCATCTCATTTGTCTCTTGAGAAACCTATATGCGGGTCAAGAAGCAACAGTGAGAACTGGACACGGAACCACTGATTGGTTCAAAATTGGAAAAGGAGTCCGGCAAGGCTGTATACTGTCGCCCTGCCTATTTAACTTATATGCAGAGCACATCATGAGAAAGGCAGGGCTAGATGAATCAAAAGTTGGAATTAAGATTGCCGGGAGAAATATCAACAACCTAAGATATGCAGATGATACCACTCTAATGGCAGAAAGTGAAGAGGAACTAAAGAGCCTCTTGATGCGGGTGAAGAAGGAGAGTGCAAAAGTTGGCTTGAAACTCAACATTAAGAAAACCAAAATCATGGCATCCGGCCCTCTCAATTCCTGGCAAATAGATGGGGAAGAAATGGAGGTAGTGACAGATTTTATTTTTCTGGGCTCAAAGATCACCTCAGATGGGGACTGCAGCCAAGAAATTAAAAGACGCTTGCTCCTGGGGAGGAAAGCTATGGCAAATCTAGACAGCATACTAAAAAGCAGAGACATCACCCTGCCAACAAAAGTATGTATAGTCCAGGCCATGGTTTTCCCAGTTGCAATGTATGGCTGTGAAAGTTGGACCATAAGAAAGGCTGAGCGCAAAAGAATTGAGGCCTTTGAACTATGGTGCTGGAGAAGACTCCTGCGAGTCCCTTGGACTGCAAGGCGTTCAAACCGGTCAGTCCTAGAAGAGATCAACCCCGACTGCTCTTTAGAAGGCCAGATCCTGAAGTTGAAACTCAAGTACTTTGGCCACCTAATGAGAAGGAAGGATTCACTGGAGAAGAGCCTAATGCTGGGAAAGATTGAGGGCAATAGAAGAAGGGGACGACAGAGAATGAGATGGCTGGATGGAGTCACTGAAGCAGTAGGTGTGAATTTAAATGGACTCCAGAAGATGGTAGAGGACAGGAAGACCTGGAGGAACATTGTCCATGGGGTCGCAATGGGTCGGACACGACTTCGCAATTAACAACAACAGTTCTTTTCTTTTTAATTTAAAAAGGATGCCAAGAAGGAGAAAGCAATTTCCTGACTTGCAATAGATTCAGAGCCTGGGGCTCCATCCCTTCCGATAAAGATTGCACCCGATGCGCGGGTGGAAATCAAAGTAAATCTCTCACCCGGCTGGAGACACCGAGGAAGACTTTGAGAACAAAGACCATAGAGTCGTAAGGCTGGAAGGGATTTTAACAGAATCACAGGACAACACATTTGGGACAGTGGTGGGATTCAGATATGTGAACAACCGGTTCTCTATGTGGATGCCGCTTCCGGAAGTCCATTCTGGGCCTGGGCAACAAAAAAATAGCTACCGGTTCTGCCGAAGTGGTGCGAACCGGCTGAATCCCACCACTGAATTGGAGGAAACTTGGAGGCCTTCTAGTCTAACCCCCTGCTCAGACAGGAAACCCTATATCAGGGGTAGGCAACCTTGGCTCTTTTATGACTCATGGACTTCAACTCCCAGAATTCCTGAGCCAGCCATGCTGAGGGGAAAGGGAGAGGTTTCCAAGCTGAGCCATGCCGGCTCAGGAATTCTGGGAGTTGAAGTCCACGAGTCATAAAAGGGTCAAGGTTGCCTACCCTTGCCCTATACCATTTCAGACAAATGGCTGTCCAGTCTCTTCTTGAAAACTTCCAGTGATGGACCACCCACAACTTCTGGAGGCAGGTTGTTCCCCTGGTTAATTGTTCTCACTGTCAGGAAATTTCTCTTTAGTTGAAGGTTGCTTCTTGTCCTATCTTCAGGCGCTTTGGAGAATAGCTTGACGCCCCCTCTTTTTTGCAGCAACCCATCAAATGTTGGAAGATGGCTATTATGTCCCCCCTCGTCCTTCTCTTCATTAGACTAGACATACCCAGTTCCAGCAACCGTTCCTTGTATGTTTTAGCCTCCAGTCCCCTAATCATCTTTGTTGCTCTTCTCTGCACTCTTTCTAGAGCAGTGGTTCTCAACCTTTTTAATGCCGCGACCCCCAACCGGTTGTAAGTCAA